GCAGTGAGGGCTATTCCAGTTCGGTGGTGAGCAAAAGAGAACTCATGTCTGCGTTGATCTCAAAAGTTTTCGTTTGCAACGGATTAACCTCTATTTACCTATATCCTGTCTTATTTTTCATTGTTTGTCCCTTACAAATACGGTCAGTATCATCCTCCGTCATTGATAATAAATATTGAACAGTAGATTTTGGTAACTTTAGACCTCTTTCCATTACCCTTCTTAACACCCGAATGATTCATATAACTCTTAATTTTGCCAATAGGAAGAAGTACAGATTTTGGCTGAAATTTCTGCCCCTTGTCCTGCTTTGCCTCGGTAGCTAACTTCATTGTGTTATTATGATTTGGTGAAAGTCGGAAATAAAGACGGCTGAAACATACTTAAAATGCAGATCTATCAGAATTTCGAGGTTTTTTAAGTCCCTTAAAAAGCCTGAGGATGCTGGCATGAGCACACACTTGAGGTGTCCGGTTTTGTCAAAGGCAAGCCTCAGTGTGAACAATTTTTAATCATATTTAATAGAGAGATATCCTTGATAATCTCTTTTTATCCAGAGCTCATCAGCCTTTTAACTTCATTTTCCACTTAAAGTTTTGGATAGACCAGGATGAAGATCGACCACAAGTTTACCCTGAGTAAAAAGCTATATTTTAATTCATTACCGTTGGCATCGCTAGTAGACTCGAGCACTTTCCGTGCTTCTCACATGAACTTCCACTTGTATCACCATGACACCTATTCTTTGTTGACAGAAGTGTTGATGAATCTGCAAGGAGAATTAGCAAAGATAGCATAACTGGTAGGCGACTGTACATCACACCAAATTTATAGGCCGTAAAATTATATTTCTGAAGTGTGATTCCAAAAAAAGTTAAAAAATCCACCTAAATGATTCGAACTAGTTTGCAGGTGAGGTAGTTATTGGCTGTGCTAAGAGTTAAGCCTTTAATCAGTGACCATAATTTGACATGTGCTTCATAAAACAATGCATTTTAGATTAACGACACCCAACCACATCGACTCGAGCTAATCGTACAAAGTGAGAATGTCACTCTCTACGTAGACGGCAAGTGGCACAGCAGCCTGCGAGCTGAATTTCCCTCTTCTGTCTCCAACATAAGTCTGGAGAGTCATCTTCCCAGACTTGGCAATACAGATTTTAGCTACCATGCCCGATTTCCGGAAAAGCCGCAGGCCGGTACGATCGCCACCTCTTCTTATGGTCTGTCGACGACCCGAGGCATTCAACAGATGGAAAGCTTCAACATCGCACCGGCTGCCGTTCCGGGCCGCTATCTCGCCTTAACAGGACCGTTCTACATAGGCGGAGGTCCCCGCGACCTCTTGGAGGGCGCACATTCTAGTTGGAGGACCCGAAAGGCCTCCGGCTTTATCGGTAAAAATGATTACTTCATCTTTCGGCATAACTGTTTTGTACGCCAAAACTAACCGCCTACTCGGGTAGTATAGTAATATTCTGCCTAAATTTTGTGATAAAGATGCTAAAATTCTGGAAAACTCGATTAATAATTGAGATACCTATTATTATAATTTACGCTTAAACCAGTGATAGTTGATCAGCTCTCTCATAACTTCTGTTTTCTATGCTCAAAACATTTTGAGAGTTGTAATGAGGCTTTTCCAATGGGAGATTTCCTTTCACCCTAGACAAGGGCAGACTTATGACATACAAGATATACTGAATTTCTTTTCTAGTCTGCTTAATTATTTTAAATGGTTGATGGTATTTTGTCGAGCATTGCAGCCCG